TGTGTTCAAAAAGTATCGAACCTTTGGTCGGCAGAAATACATTTATTGATTTGGAGGTACAAAACCCTAATCCCCTTCAAAGTAGTCTCCTTGGTAATGCACACACTTCTCCCAGTGCTTCCGCCATTGTTGGAAACACTTCTGGAACGCATCTTTTGGAATGTTGATCAGCCGGGCTGTCGCGTTCCGCATGATGTCTTCTCTTGACTCAAATTGGGTTTCTTTCAGTGCCATTTTCAGCTTGGGAAACAGCCGAAAGTCACACGGAGCCATTTCGGGGGAGTAGGGAGCCTAATGAACCACAGGGATGTTGTGTTTGACGACAAAAGTCTGAATCAGATGCGTAGTTTCGGTACAAATTTTGCGGACACTCTCCTCATGCCCAAATCCTCAGTCAAAATTGAATGTCCTGATCCAATGCTTACCCCTATCTCGTTCGCAAGTTCTTGGACTGTGACACGATGGTCCTCCATGACCAAAGTCCGCACTTGCTCAATGATATTCTCATTTCGGTTTGTTGAGTGTCTGCCTGAACGCGGTTCGCTGTCCACTGATGTGTGGCCATCTTTGAAGCGGTTGTACCACTCCTTTATCCATGAGTTGCTCATGGCATCGTCCCCAAAAGCCTGTTGATTCTTGCGAATGGTTTCCAAGCTTTTGGCAAAATTTGATGCAATATCACTGCTCATGTTGTTCCATCATTTTACACCTTACTGGAATCTGACGAGCGCTCACTACACGTCCTCACTCATAGGCTGACTGCCAGCGACTGACGCTTTCTGCGGGCGGGGAAAAATTCATGACTGCATATGAATGTCCCCTCCACATCTCCACTGAAGGGAGCCTCCCGCGCTTCACTGGTTTACGCGGGAAAAAAGAAGGTTCGATACTTTTTGAACACACCACGTAATATTGTTGTATTATATATTGTTATTATTGGGTGCATACAATGATTCATGTATGTATTTACATTATTTTAGTGGGTGCACTTCTGAGGTCAGAGTGTGCAATCAGTGGAATACAGAGTTCTGACTGTGTTAAGTTGGATTAAGTAAAAAAAATGTGATGGGATCAAACCAGCATATGGTCCAGGAGGTGCACGTGGTGTGAGAATATCTTTTGTAGTATGCGAGTTGGATGTGTGATTGTCAGATGGAGAGAGACAACTTATAACTAATATACTGTCTGTACCATTCCATCATGATATGTTTCTTATAATTTATACCACAGGTGTTTAATGTGGTTGGAATATTTTCTGCATTTGTTCCTATAAAGATAAGATTGATAAGTATATTTCAGCGTCTTTTGGCTACAATTTGACCCTTTCCTCTCCTCTGTTTGAAGGCTTCAGACAATGTAATGTTCCTGTACAGGTCCACTGTCAGGATTTATGTCAGCTTTACAGATTTGTCTTATGAGTGCATGCTGAGTGTCATATCTTTGCTCTTTACATTATTTGACATCTCTCTAGAGACAGCAGATCCTAAAAATTCTTATTTTCCTGGACAAAAGTGGCTCCTTTTTTGTGCAGATTAATTTGTCTGTTTCTCTGGGAGTAAGTGGCTTAGTACCAGTGTTTTTTACATTTCAATAAAATAAATGCTTAACCAGTACTTGATACACAGATGTTTCATGTTTAGGTGAAGAACTTTACCATTAGTACAGTATGCTACAAGTCTTCCAGTGAGGGTAGAATGTAAACTATGGCTGAGCTATCTTATATTGTAGGTACTGAAATTCTCCATCCTGGTCCATTTGTGAACTGTCATAATAATTACTACCTGAATCAAAAACGTGATAGACCTGAGGGTCCTGTGCCATTTCTTTCATGCCACTGAACAGACGATCAATACTGTTGCGGCTGGTCTCTGACTCGGGGGAACTTGCATGAAAAGTCTCGTGTGTGCATGTCTTGATCATTTGTAGCATATTAACCTATGTTTACAACTTAACACTAGCAGTCATTGGTACGCATGTGTGTGTGCGCGCTCGCATGCTTATTTATGTTTCAGACGTTTGTATCTGTATATGTATGTTGACACAGTGAGAAATAAAGAGAGCAATGTGCCATGCTGTATGAAGGTCACCTTCTTGTACGTTTGCGATGTTTGCAGTCGCAGGGGACACACCTTGTTCACGCTTGACATGTGACAGATGTCGTTAATCACCAGATGATCTAAACTGCTGTAATGTGAAGGAGAGGGAGGAAAGAAATGGATATGAATGATGATGATAGCATTGGCAGTTGAAGGAGGAGAGACAGGAGGGAATAATGGGGGGGGGGATGAATAAGCAGGAGGAAAGGTTTTTTCCTGGAAACTCGACCTGCATGTGCAATATGATGACAGGATATTTTGAGATTCTTAGCGAGTTTATGTTGTGGTGGTTTCAGTGTTGTGTTGGCAGTTGAAGCTTAATGTTACAGCAACTCTGTTGAATTGTAAACATTAACGTATGAAGAGACTTAATTGAATTTTTAACAAGAATTATACTAGTACACCTTGATTAAGAAACTGGATGGAGGTCAAAGAGGGCAACAGATAGATACAAGAAGTCGTTTTATAGTTCAGCATTTTGTTGAGCTATGATTGCAGGCAAATTGAATGACTGTCAACCAGAATGGGACAGTGGCTTGGACATGATCAGCTGTCTTTATTGCTTTTTCTCAATCTCTCCAGATAAGAATGCCTTGGTGCTATAACTGACATGACATGGACTGGCTCTTGTGAGTTTCTTGTCCACCAGGCAGCGACATGAGGCTTCTGCCCTGGTGACTTAATATTTCCTGACAAAACAAGAGTAATCTCTGTTATTTGTGATGGTATACCAGTAGTTTGGCCGGTCACGGTAGCCAAGTGGTCTAAGGCATGCACTGTCATCGCTCGCTCGGAAGCCGGGATTGTGGGTTCGAATCCCACTCAGGGCATGAATGTTTGTGTGCGTTTTTCTGTGTTTGTGTACAGGTAGAGGTCTTGCGACGAGCTGATCACCTGCCCAAGGAGTCCTACCATATGTCTAAGATCTAGTAAATCGAAGTGAAACGGAAAGTTTCATGGAGGTATGCCTAGGCTCAAATGAGGGCTGTAGCGCAAATGAAAAAAAAAAAAACAGTAGTTCAGTTACACAGTGAAATAGGCTGTGGATTTTCCTCAGTCCTTTCAAATTTACCGAGCAAGAATATCCTCTTATATCATTCAGCATCATATGTAGTTGGTGTGCTGCTGAATAGCCTACAGTCTGTCCCATTTTGTGCATGGACTTCAAGCAGGAACCTGTGTAAGATATCCAGACAGGCTCTCTAAATATAATTAAGTTGCAAGCTGTTGTTTGTGCATGGAATGCTTCTGTAATATGCACTGCATGTACTAGTTGTTTGTTTAATTTGTTGCCGTTGTTTAATTGGTTCTCACAGGATACTTCACATTTATTTTACATATATTTTAAAAGAGGTTTCTGTGTGTGATTTTCAGAATGTTTATTTACTGCTGCTAAAGAAGTCAACTCTTTAAAGAGTGAGACACTTCCCAAACTCATTTGATGTGAGGCCCCTTTGATGTGAATAAAACAAAACTGTGAGGCATCTCATCCCACAAAAGTGCTGATTCAGCAGTTCAGAAAAATAATTACCATATATACATGAAGGACTCTTCTCTTAACTGTATTAATGTAACTTGATGTGGTCATTTAGGACCACAGCGAATTCAGTATCTTTGTCATCAGCCCATTTTTCAGGGCTCCCCAGGAAGAGCATCAGTTAGTTTCAAATCTGAGAAATGCGCCTCCAAGTAGCATATAAAGATTCATTGTCTCACAGAAAACACACTCCATCTCCATGACGAAGAGCAGCCGGTTAATGCTGTTTAATCTGAGAACCGTATGGAACACACAGACACACACTGTGTGTGGGCAGAATAGAGTTCTTAATGCTGGTATGGGTACATATAGTTGCAATTTGTTCTTCTGTAAATATTAAATTTCACGGATTGATATGGTTGTAGACATTCAGTGGGAATCTTTTTCTTTTCTTTCTTCATTTCCTCTGTCACTTTTCCTTGTTAAACCATCGAATGAAGGTACATGTTCACCCTTCAGAGCACACAGTTTCAGTCATTTGAGCTACCACCTGTGTGAGTACATGAGAACTACTGTGGAGTGAGACATGCAGTCAGATGACACACATACCTGCCCTCATTGTGTATTGCCAGTTGCAGGTCAACTTCATATTGACATAAATAAACCAGGTTGCACCAACATCAGTGGCATATGACATTGGTATACTTGTGGAAATGATTTCATGTACTTTAATAAACACTCTTTCTTTGGTTGTGGTACAATTCTTGAGCCATCAGTGTTGTAACTGAAGCACTGTTTAAAATTCTCTATCCGCACACAGTATGACATCATCTGCCTTGCTGTCACTACACTTTTGTGTACATTTTGGCATATTCTGTTTCCACTTTCATCAAACATTTGCTAACACATCATTGTTACCAACATATATGAAGAAACTGCCAAACACTAATACTTACCCTGTGTTCCACTGAATTACATGCCCACCAAGCAGTAGTGCTTGTGAAAACCCTTAAGTACAGTACGAGACAGCAGGATCTGTGTTGTGCTGAACATTTTGCCGTGAGGTATATTTGATAAGCATAACACTGTTGGAGTTGGATCTGCTCCAGTCTTTAGGGACTCACTTTATATTTTAAATTTTCATCTCTTCCATAAGCAGCCAGGACTGATTTGCTATTATAATGGAAACCAGTTGTTCAAATGTACCACTTCCTGAACTGGCTGACTCTCTTGTAGCAGATCCTGAAGGTTCAACACCAAAGCCTGCCATCGGACACAATCCTGAGCCAGTTCCATCCACTTCCCATCCTCAGAACATCTGTGATGTTGTAGCAAACGGTGAAATCACTAAGTATCAGTTTGCAGGAGTAGAAGAAACAACTTTAGACATCTGTACAATAATGTGCGTAATGTGTCACTGTGTCACCAAATGGAAAGTATTGTGCTTAGTGACATTAATAAGGAAAATTTTGTGGTGCATTTATCTTGACTAGTTTTTCACCTAAGTCTGTTTCCCATAACACCACAGATATTTCTTCAAGGTCTGTGATTAAAATTGATGAAGTCTTTTTGGGCATTTATTCCCTGATGATGGGGGCAGACCAGATGTCTGAAATGTTGGCTTTGGTTCCAAATTGGCACAGCTGGTCACTCAGTAAGAATTTCTGAAACCACAGAATATCCATAATATTATTTACAGGGCTCAGATGTGTTACATGATGAATATACTTGTGTTGTTACCACAGTTTCTGTTGTTTGTTTGTGGGTAGCGTATGCATTGACAGAAATATGTACAGTTGATTCTTGCCAAATGCAGGGGTTACAAATCCATCTTCAGGAGACTTGACTCCAGGAAACATGTTCTCTCATTATAGAAGACAATCACTTCATACAGTTAATCTGTGAATATGTTCCCTGTAAATAAATGTCTTCAGTTCAATTTGTATCCGTATCAACATTTTCGGTACTGAAGTTGGTTCAAAAAACGAGTGATGTCTTTTGTTTCAGTATTCTGAATACTGAAAGGCTGTAAATTGTTGGCATGAATTGTCAAGATATGGCAGGAAAGTTCATTATCACATATGTTACCAACTTTTCACAGCATAAGTGGAAGACATTTTGTTCTTAGTACTGAAAGAGCTAATGTGAGAGGTTCTGAGAACTGTTAGATTCATTAGAAAAGTGGAAGTAGTGTTACTGAAAGATCACTGATAACTGTCTGGTTTGGGTTTGCTAGACTGATGTGGCATTTTGCTGGCACAAAAGGCATGTAAGGAAGAGCAGACAGTTAAAACAGAGCTCATGAAATCTGTGTTTGGCAGGGATCTACCGTACTTCCTAAGATTGTAGCATTTCAGGCATAATGTCATGCGGTTAGAGACTTGCAACAGTTGATTTTCTTTCCCCTGTGAAGGATGAAGCAGTCGAAGGGGCTCTGAGAGAGATAGGGCTTCTGTAGTGCGACCTCAACTCTAATCTTCAAGCGGCTGGCCAACAGACACCTTGTGAAGTCACATCAGAGCACTTCTCCCAATTCTGTTCTCATCCTTTGAAGCCTGAATGAAACTTATCTAAATAATATTTGAGGATGCAGTTTCTGCCTTACAGAGAGCAAACTGAATTTCCATTACAAGATGAACTGGTTAATTCTGTTTAGGGAAATAATCACTGTTTCTTGTGAACATCATATGAAACATGCAGATATGATTTATGGGCAGAGTTATCTGGGCTTTGCTTTGTGTCCCTTTGTTGGGCACCATAAAGTGAATGGTCGTGAAGTTAGCTCTATTTCTGAACTTTATGGTGGGAATATATTTTGAAAAACTGCTGAATTTATTTAAACTGATGTGCATCATTTAAGAAGACAGAGTGACAACCTGATGAAGTTGGTCTGCAGGTCAGTGAAAGCTAATTTGTGTACATACTCTTTCATAAAGAAGAGTTACAAACCTGCAGCAATAGAAGAATTTGGAAAAAGAAAACAAACAAAAAACATTCATTTATATATGCTATATGCAATTTTTATAATGAAAATAATTTGTCCATATCTTTTAAATTAGCAATAATGATAACTGACAAAGAGTAATAAATTTCCTTCCAGCCCAGCATTAGCACAAAGGCAATATCAGGGAATTGGGAAGTTTGTCAGCAGAGACATGTTGGTTTGTTTTGGAAATGTTTTGTAATTGGACAGCAGTGGAGATACCTACATTCTAGAACAGAAATTTTAATGGTGTTGCTTTGGAAGTTAATATTGCAACCAGTGTTACGGAAATTATTTGCATTTTTGCAGTAATGTTTGTGGTTCTTGTGGCACAACTTATAAGCAGAATGTCTTCATGCCTTATTGTCATAAATTTCATATAAATAACATACAGACATTCAGGCCATACATCACAGGAAATAACATCACATCTCCATGACAATGACCAACTGGTTAATGCTACTTGGGGGAACCATACTGAACTCACAAATATACTGTGTGTGAACAGAATGTGGAGTTTTTAGTATGTTAAAGCAGGCAGTACGTAGGTACCACTGTGCGTTAAAAGACTCCACACATTCTAGTGTAAAATTCTGTGCGCTTCATTGGCTTTGATGTTTATTTAGTGCAAACATAATCTGTAGTTATAAAGATAATTGTGGTACAGATACAGCACTGCACATGCAGTGCTTGAATTTTGTTAAACATGTACCATATCGATAAATCTCTCAGTGAATCACGTAAATTTCATGAAATGTTTATTTTGCATCAGTACAGGTTTCTTATAGAACGAAATTATTTGAGAGAATTTGAGCTTCATGTAAGGGTCATGTTAGACCAGTGCAGATCAAATTAAGTTTACCATGCAGCATTTATTGTAGATTGCCTGCCATTGCCAAGTTTGATGTAAATATGTCGAGTAGTTTCAGGTATGATACATATGTGCTGTCAGATAGGCACAGCTTTCCCCTTCCTGCATTCATTTTATGCACCTTCAACGAATGTGTGATAATAATTAAGATGTTCTTGTCTGTTCAGATTCAGTGTCTCGGGTTCCCTTTGCTGTCTCCACTGCTGGGCTCTAGTCAGATCTCTTGCAAGCTGCATAGTTTTGTAAAGCAGCAGCACATACACATGTTGGTCACTTGCCTCTCAGTGTCATTGTACCATACATTGCTTGCTTACTCATGATTCTTTATGTCCGATTGCTCTCTTCATACTGTAAGAAATTTTTATATTTCCTAACTTGTGTTCATTTTTAACAAATTTAAATGGAAGAGATGTTATTTATGATAAAAGTTGTTGCTAACCATATTCAGGGTGCAAGAATTTTTGTGTGCAATGAAATATTCCAAGGTCCAGTTGTAAACATGGTTGAGGAATGTGGTTTTGTAATATACCTACCAGAAGTGAGTTAAAATATCTTTAATGATGTGTCATCATCATATAGTGACATAGATTGTTATGTCGTCATTAAGAAGTTACAGAATTCTGTTCTCAACCTACAATTGAACCAAAATTTCCACATGGGAGAGCTCGTTGAAGACGTGGGACCTGTTCTCTAAGGTTCCCTACACGAGGTGTGGCATACTCTCAGCGGTATTTCAGTCTAAGTGTATAACCGTAAGTTTCATGCATAATAATGTGAAGAGGGTCTGATCCTTTGGTTTCTGTGACCTGCGACCGACACGTAGCTTGGGTGCTGGCATCAAGTGTCAAACTTGTTCCAGTGCAGAATCCATTGTCATGTTTTACATGAAGCCTGAAATATATATAGTGAAAGAAGGGAGAAATTTTTCTGCAGGTTTTCAGGCAGGCACATATCTGGATATCAGTAATGTATATTTTAAATATTTTCAGAACATTTTCATATTTTTAATGTAATGTAATTAGTCCATTACATTCCTGTGAAACCTACAGTGTACCCATCTTCTGGGACATGACGCCGTACGTATAGTCTCATACAAGTTCACAGATGTTTTGCACAGCTGTACTGTCTGCAAAGTTCCCTCCACTGGTTGCCCAGCTTATTCTTGGACTCCAAAGATGGGGCCAGTACTTTCTTCCAAAACTTTGGTGAACTTGTACCAGACTACATGCATGGTGTCACATCCCCAGAAGACAGTAGTACTGTTAAGTAATGTGTTACGTTTATGCAGGGTCAGGTATGTTTTGATATGGCTGAAGTCCTCAGCTGCAAACCACGCCTCTTCCATGTTCTGGGTTTCTTGAAAATGTGACTATACAGAAACAGTTTTGATGTTTCCAGTATGTTTCCGTTTGTACCCTGTCATGACAGCTTGTAGACATTTATTGTAATTTTATAGAACTGCTGAAAGGTCGACACATTTCCATTTAAAGTGGATAATTGCTTGTTTTCTTCTCTGTGTTAATGATGTGTATACAGTGCCAAATTGCTGTTTCATAGTACACAAGAAAATGTACATTTTATGTGTTGAATTTAAAGTTTTGACAATGATAAAGCATTTTATGTATTTTATATTGTAAAATATTTTTTAGACATTGTGGCAGTAAATAATATAAGATCAATTGAAAGTTTGACACACACCATTCTTAAATTATTTTAAACACAATAAATATACTGGGAAATAAATTACCTTTTTCAGAATTTACTTGTAAAATGATTGATGTCTGTGACTATGTGTTTAAATTTAAAATATTTATATTGCTGGGAAAACATGGACATTGGTCTAATAAAGCCCGTCATCTTGTTCACTCATGTTTGTGGTTATTCAGTGTCACTGTAGATTGCTTCCCACTAGGCTGTACTCTGGATGCAGATACACAGTGAAGTGTTATGTGTTCAGAACATGGAGGCAACGAGATTCATTTCATAATATCCTGTGTATAACCAGTACAACTTTTAGGTTGGTGTAGTGGTGAAATTCAACCCTTGTATTCATACTGTGCTCGGTCGGAACCATAGCCAGGTCCAGTGGCCATCCTGACTGAGGTGTTTCATGGTTTTCCACAGTCCCTTCATGCAGAATAGTACCTAATTTAGGCAACAACCACTTCCTTCCAAATCCTCTCCACTTAGCATTCATCAGTCATCCTATCACGTGACACGGGGTAGTCAATACTGAAAGCTTCCTTTGTCAAATAACCAACAAAATAACATGTAGATGAGATCTGAGAGCTGGGCTTTGCAAGCCCTTGCACCATGACTGACTGTGACACATTGTACATTCCCTTACTGAATAACAAAACATCCATCCACAGTCCCGCATTTTGAATGAGACAGTACTTTTAATGGGCTGATTTGGGCTTCATGGGGTCACAAGTGACAGAATCATAATTCAAGTAGATCCTCACATGTCCCAAGAAATTCCTGTTTAGTCCTAATAGTTCCCTACTCACTTTTGCAGATGGCCCTTAACCACCTTCATTACATGGGCATCATGTTGGATGTTGTTCTTTGTCTGAGTTATGGAGAGAAGTTTCCATATGAGGGGCTTCATAATTTATGCTGACCAAGTACTGTTACAGTGATTCAAATCAAGGATTATGAAATGGATGAGGCATGTAGCATGGATGGGAGAGATGAGAAATGCATAGAAAATTTTACTTAGAAAACTGAAAGAATGGAGACCACTTGAGAGACCTAATCATAGATGTGATAGTAATGTTAAAATAGATCTTAAAGAAGTGGTGGTGGTGGGGGAGGTGTATGTGTGGACTGCGTTCATGTGGCTGTTTGTTACGTCTAGTGGTGAGCTCTTGTGAACCTGGCATAAAATCTTCGAGTTTTTTAAGTGACAAAGGATTTCTTGACCAGCTGGGCTACTATCAGCTTCCCAATAAGGGCTCTGCTTCCTTGGAGTTAGTTGCATTTTTTATGAAGCATGGAACATTACAGTTTACATTGCTTGTCAGTGCATGAGTGAAATAAAAGAGTATTATTAGCACATATGTTGCATGTGATGCATGCCAGCTCTGTAATTTGCATGCCTTGATATGGAGGGCAGTAATGAAAGGGGCCACTTCTACACATTCTGTAAAGCATGCGGAAAGGACTTCGACCATGTGAAATGTAATAATGCATTGCCCGTGCATATCTTTGTGAATTACTGTGAAACACTTAACCGTTTAAGTGTATTTTTTAATTCTTTCCATGTTGTGAAAGACATTTTTTGCTTATGAATGGTACATCACTAGTATTTGATAATATCAGTGAAAATTATTTCTCCTTTGACCTCTCGACAGTTCAGACTGTCTGTTTTTGGTTTAAACTATCTTAGAAGTACAAATTTATGCAATGATTTTTTTTATTATTTTCCCATGCCTCTTGTCACATACAGTGAAGAAATATATAATTCACATTTAAATTCAGGCATCTTCAAAGGGTAAAGTTGATCTTTTGAAGATGGAATTGTGTGTGTCCAAATATACAGTGCTATTCAAAAAGAGTGAACCGATTTCATGACACATTGCTTCGGTTCTCAAGCATCGTCATGGAATGAGTCAGTGACCATTTGAAAGAGGAGTTATCTAAGTTGTGAATGGCTGGCACAGGGGCGCTGAAATTGCGTCGTTCTTCCAGCAACGTTCAGTTGTTCATTTACCCTCAGAATGGTGAGTCCTCAGCAAAAGGTGTTCTGCGTTCTCGAGTTTGCGAAAACAAATTCAGTTGTCATGGTGCAGCATGCTTTTCGAAGGCGATTCGGCATTAATCCGCCCTGTCCTAAGAACATTCGATGGTGGTTTCGACAGTTTCAAGAGAGTGGGTGTCTGCGTAAAGGAAAAAGTCCAGGACGACCACGAGTCTCGGAGGAACAAGTGGCAAGAATCTGTGCTGCGTTTGACAGGAGCCTGCGGAAGTCAACAAATCAGTTAGCCGTCAGCTTGCGATCCCTCAATCCACTGTCTGGCGTGTGCTAACAGTACGTCTACATTTGAAACTATACAGACTGCAGCTCATTCAGGCGCTTACCAATGACAACAAAAGCGGATGGAATTTTGCGATTCGATGCTGGAGACGATGGAAGACAAAACCTTCATTTCACATTTAATTTTTAGTGATGAAGCGACTTTTCGCTTGAGCGGCACAGTCAATCGTCACAATGTGCATATTTGGGGAACAGAGCACCCACATGAAACAGTTGAGCATGAAAGAGATTCCCCTAAGGTGAATGTCTTCTGTGCTGTGTCTCAGAAGAAGGTTTATGGTCCCTTTTTCTTTGAAGGAAAGACCGTTACAGGACAAACCTATCTCGATATGCTCCAAAACTGGCTCTTCACTTCACTGCAAGCAGATTCGCATGACTTCATTTTTCAACAAGATGGAGCACTGCCCCATTGGCACCTGATGGTCCGAGCTTTTTTAAATGAAAAAGTGCCCCTGCGATGGTTTGGTTGGAAGGGGACCAAAGACCTTGCTCTTTGTGTTGGCCTGCGAGATCCCCAGACCCCACCGTGTGCGATTTCTTCTTGTGGGGGATATGTAAAAGATCACGTTTATGTTCCACTGCTACCCACTAACCTCGATGACCTTAAACATTGAATAACATCAGCGGTTAAATCAGTGCATCATGATATGCTGATACGCGCCTGGGAGGAATTCTCTTATCGCATTGATGTTGCCCATACTGCAGGTGGTGGCCACATTGAACACTTGTAAGATAGGAAATAAAAGTTGATTGTGAGTAGAATACTTGTGACTTGGCTGGAGTTTTGTATTACTTTCCTTTAATAAAATATTGCATAATAAAATCGGTTCATTCTTTTTGAATAACCCTGTATATGTAAATGATTGTATGTATTCATCATTGCATATGATGAAAGTTTGTTGAATGGACAGACAAGATTGTTGTATAATTTGAGGCCACATGATAAGAAGAAACTTGACAAATTGATGCACTGACTCTGAAGTAAAGTCAGCATGGAAGGATTCATTTACTGACCCAGTTTTCATACTATGTGTATGTATTTTATCACAGTAATATGGGCATTGGTATTTTGAATTCACTCCTCTCATACCTGATGTATCCTGTATGAAGGATTATGAACTTACCTTGGAAAAGATGAACCAAGTGATTCAGCTTATACCCATTTCTATGCTTTTTACCTGAAGAGACCAGCTTATATTAGTGTAATTCCATGTAAATGTGTAATTTATATTGTTGTAGAGCAAAGAACGGTTCGTATGAACTTTTTATGGATGGGAGACACATTTATGCCTCTGAGCTTATGAAGCAAAATAAATACAGACCAGATCAAGGACCATTGCTTCTAAATGAGATACCTAGTGTGTATTATGGAAGGGGTTAAGGTTACTTTACACTGAAATAACTTTCATGTTTTATTAAATGTATGTATTAATGACTCAGTGTCATGGACAGATAAATGTAGTGATGAATTGTAGATCTTGTATTGCTTACTTAGCATTTGTTTAAACAGTTTTGACCTTCAGTTATTTAGGATGAAGGTTGCAGTTGCCTGCGTCTGTGGTTTCGTAGTGAGTGAACCAGTAGCATTTTTAAATAATGTGTTTCACATTTCACTTATCCATAGAAATTTGTTTTCTTTTTCTAGTAGTTTCCTGCTGCTTTCCTGTGTGAGCCACCTGAATGTTCATGTCTGATTCATCCCTTTTAATAAGAAAAGATTTCTGTGTAGTAGACCAATGTGGTTTGTTTATTGTTTGTCTTCTATCCAGAGAATGTGTTAGTCACCTGTACATCTGACAGAATTGGATTTGTAATACTTTCCATTGTTGTTTTTAACATCTTGATGTTCTGTATAAATTCAATAGATACAGAGTCTGATGGGTGAATACTGATAACAATTATCTGTTTACATTACTTGCACAGGAAGATACATTTTTCTAGATTACTTTGTTTTCTTCAGTAAGTACATCAGGAGACTCTTGGGACGGACATGAAAACAATTCACTCTGGCCTTTACTTATTTTTACTCTCTCATTTACAGACAAAGAAAATTCAGTTGTGAAGAAGGGAAATACAGAAATATTAACATCACAGAGTTTGATGAAAGCTCCCCAGAGCTTACTTAAGAACATGCATTATCTGTTTGGACCATTTCTTCATGCGCAGATCAGAGTTCAAGCTGCTGTATTTAGGTTATGTGCAACCAGCACACATGAATGATAGTTGTTTAAGAAAGTTTCAGCTACAAAATATTGCACAGAATGCTGCCTCATCATACAATTTTAAAATTCCATTTATTTGTGTCACAAGAAAGCTATTCATTCAGAACAGTAGCCAGCTTATCTTTATGTGACTCTTATCTTAACTGTTAAACAGACTAGCAAATGAGAAGTTTTTAGATTGTCATGAGGCTAGTTTTCTATATCGTGAACTTGCTTAGTTTCCATTGGCCCTAATCATTTGAACCTTGTTCCTATTTTCAATCCAAACAAACCACTTAGTGCACCTGTAAATGTTTCCTGTTGGCAAATGTGTGACAGTATCCATAATTGTTCTATTCATACTGTGTAACCTAACTTGCATTTCTATAAAAGTAATCACTTCTTATTCATGTGTTGTGCAGCAAGCATGATAGTAAGACAGAATTGTCTGGATTAAATTTTATGGTGAAATTAACAAGAATTTCAGTATATTCAATTTATTAGTGTACAGACTAATGATTCCTGGTACTCATTTCTGTAAGAGGCTGAGTCAACCCCAGGGCCACAGTGCGGCTGGAAGGATTAGGTCAATTGAAAAAAAATCAAATGACCTCATCGGGGCTTGAACC